CCTCAACAGCTCCTGCAAGCTCAGCCCCCCGGCCTTGCGGGAGAGAACGAAGGTAACGGGGGGTGTCCGTGCACTGAGCGCGCCCGGTCTCGGCACCCCGTGTCTGCGCCCTGCACCGAGTCTCATCCTTCTCTGGTCTCCTCCTGCAGGTTTTCCTCCGTCTCTCTTTCCACGTCTCCTCTGTCACCAGCTGGGGGGACGACCCAGCCTCCTTCACTGTCCGAGCTGCCTGGTGCGTTCCTGGCTTGGGGGAGGAGCAAGGGAAGGGACCCCACAGTGTGTCTGGGGGAGATGGATGGGAAAGCCAAGGGAAAGGGGTATCCCCACACGCATCCTTCCACCTTCCACCTTCCATCCATCTCTCCTGCCATCCATCCCATCCATCCGTCCAGCCATCCCTCTCCCCTGCCATCCATCCCATCCATCCGTCCATCCATCCATCTCCCCTGCCATCCATCCATCCATCCATCCATCCATCCATCCATCTCCCCTGCCATTCATCCATCCATCCCCAGCACATGTCCATCCATAACACACGTCCATCCATCCCTTGTGTGTCCAGGGTGCCTGGGGCAGCCCACACTGGGAATGCCAAGGTCAGGGCAGGCTGCAGAAGGGAGAGCAGATCCTCCCAAGACTGGTGGGTTAGACTCCCCAACCCGTTACACACGGTGCTCCCTGATCCCTCACACTAGTTATCGAGAAGCTGAAAAAAGCAATCACACAGCCCCCTTTACTGCATTCCAGTCTCTGGCTCCCAACCAGCACCTAGGTCCAGTCCAGCGAGAAGTTATCTAAAAACTCTGCTCACTCTACAAAATGTTCTTCTGACCCTAGGGCCAGCCACATTGCCAGGTCAGTGTTAGGTGGATCTTACCCAAAATACCAACCTGCCGGCCGATCCTTTAGTCTGTAAAACTAACGGTTTGTTAGAAAAGAGAGACCAGGAAGCGCGATGTGAAATGGTAAAGCCCTCAGAGACCTACAGCGATTTCCAAGTCCATAGATCAGGTTGTTAGCAGCGCTGGTGAGGTTGCTGGCTAGAAAGTCCCTCTGGAGTCACCCACCGCTGGGATGGGTCAGTCAGTCCTTGCTCAGAGGAAAGTGACTCCAGAGGTGGGAAGCAGGATTGGAGACAACATAGGGAAGCTGCAGCTGCATTTTTCTCTCCTTTGCCTTGCGGCTCGTACATCCTCGTCCCAAACACGAGCTCGCAGCACATGGGCCTGGAGACGCCGCGCAGCCCCTGTCCACAGGCCTGTCCCTACATGTGCTGCTGGCTCCTAGGTGCATCCCTCGGCGTCTCGCCATGGGTCCATGGTACAGCTGACAACCCTTGATGGGCCATGGAGCAGGCCAGGCCGTGCTGCTGCCAATCTGTCCGGGGGTGTCACCCAGACACACAGCACAGGTTTGGAAATACAGAGACACCGCACCTACCTGTAACTCACCGTACAAAGGTGATGTACACATATAAACAACATCATCATCCTTGGCAAATCATGACGTTTTCGCTGACACCGAACATGGCATCTCTGCGCAGATTCCTCGCAGTGATACAATACCGATAATCACACAATACGTCTCTGACGTATTCCACACAGCGTCACCCCTCCAGCCCTCCCTCCGCCCCCCAACACACGTCTGTCCATCCCTCCTCTAGCCCCCCATCCCTCCACCCCTCCCTCCGCCCACCAACACACGTCTGTCCATCCCTCCTCTAGCCCCCCATCCCTCCACCCCTCCCTCCGC